TCCATATATATATATATCCATATAGTGTAGTCGAAAGAGCATTTTAATGTAAAAAAAGTCTCTTACGACTGCAATTTTAATTACCTCATCTCTTGAGCTGTATTTGATTGTCGTCGAAATGTCAAAGCAATTAAATTAATGCAGAAGTACATTAAATTTTATTGTTTTTTAAAAATTTTTTAAAAAACCGCAATTATAACGACTAGAAAGTTTTTTTTTATTAGTGATGTTTTTGTTTTTATTTTATTAAAAAACATTTTTAAAACATGCGTAAATGTTGCTACATCGACTATCTTATAGCCTGACTCGCAACGGAGTGCTGCTACATCGACTGACAAATAGCCTGACTCGCAATGGAGTGCTGCTACATCGACTGACAAATAGCCTGACTCGCAACAGAGTGCTGCTACATCAACTGACAAATAGCCTGACTCGCAAGGGAGTGCTGCTACATCGACTGAGGGTTTGGTTTGGGCAGGCAGTCTATCATTTTAAAAAAAAAAAAAAAATTTAAGTTTTTAAACTTTTTCTGGTCTGGTTTATTAACGCGCTCTTTAAAACTATAGTTTATGGGAAACTCTTTTCAACTACCATGCAAGAGTATATATATATATATATATATATATATATATATATATATATATATATATATATATATATATATATATATATATATATATATATATATATATATATATATATATATATATATATATATATATATATATATATATATATATCTATATATCTATATATATATATATATATATATATATATATATATATATATATATATATATATATATATATATATATATATAGTATATATATATATATATATATATATATATATATATATATATATATATTATATTATATATATATATTATATATATATATTATATATATATATTATATATATATATATATAATATACCTTTATATTAAATAGTTTTTGACCTGATGCCGACCTCAAAAAGATTGAGGTCAGCAAATTGTTGCCAACCTCATTTTTCCTAATTACGAGGGTTGCAGGGCTCAGAATTAGGGTCGGTATTTGGCATTGTCGACATAATTGCTGACCTAAAATTATTTGAGTTTGGCAAAAAATTGCCAACCTTGTTTCTATGTTTTATGGTAACTCCTTGGTGTCAAATTTTTTTAATATAAAATGTATATATATATATATATATATATATATATATATATATATATATATATATATATATTCATACATTAATATGTATATATATACATATAATATATATATATATATATATATATAATATATATATATATATATATATATATATATATATATATATATATATATATATATATATATATATATATATATATATATATTTATATATGTGTATGTATATATATATATCAGGCTGTTAGCCAGCCCGATGGTACTACGTATACATCAGAATTGATTTTTAAAATTACCAAAATTTAATGACCTTTTTTTTAACATTAATAATAAATATTCTCAATATTGCAAAAACACACTAAAGAATATATTCCTGGCTAATACTCTGTATGCAGATCTATATATTATTTTTATCTATAAAAAAATGATTACAAAAATAATTTTAAATTTAATGTATAATTAATAATAAATGATTCTAAAAATTTATATATATTAACTTTAGATAAAAGTTTTATTCCAAAGCTTGTCAAAGTAAACCCAGAAATTATCAAATCATTAGTAAAGTTATCCTTTACATGTGAAAATGACACAGTTCAACTCATTGCAGAAACACTTGGTTATCTTTGCTCATGTGGTAATCTAATTTTTATTATGTTTTTAAAACAATGTTTCCAATTAATAGATTTTAATAACTATTTCATAAACCAATATAATTGTATAAATTACAAATAACTTATTTTATATTTTCTTTAAATCCAAATAAAAAAAAGTTTCCGGAAAAAAAAGTTTTTTTTTTGTTATAATATTTGTCATATTCTTTTAAGGTTCTAAATAATATTCTGTTAAGCAGAAAATTAACAATATTTATTGTCATATTATATATATATATATATATATATATATATATATATATATATATATATATATATATATATATATATATATATCTTTTATATCTATCTATTTTATATATATATCTATTATATAGTCTTCTTCTTTTGAAATTTAATACCGGTGTACAAAAAAAGCATTGGTCTCATTTAGATAATATTAGTATCAAAAAATTTTAGAAAATTAGTTATTGTATTTACTTGATTTAGCTCATTTATTTACTTTGTTTATTTAATTTTTTGACTTCTTTTTTTTTAAAGAATCACTTCACTCTTTAATGCTTGAATATGGTGTGGTCAACTCGATTCTTCACTTTGCTAAAAGTGGGGATGTTGGAGTACAGTTTTGGTCATCAGCATTGCTATTGAATATTTCTATGTTATCAGATCAAATGAAAGAAACAATAATACAAAATGGTGGCATAAATATTTTACTTGAAATGGCAGTTAGTATAGATGAAGTTGACCTTCCAGATATAGCTATAAATGCAACAAAAACTCTTGTTAGTCTAGGATATTTAGGTATTTAAGCTCTAATTTTTTATAAATTTCTTAATTGAAAATGAATTATTAAAAACAAGTACAAAATTGTTTAGGATTCAATGGCTACATAAGTGTCAATTTTTTTTCACATAGATGGCAGTTTTTATAAATAAATAAAAATATTTTAGAAAACTATTATATGAGATAATGATTATCTTTTTCCAGATATATCTGGAATTCAGGATATTTCTTTTAACTTTTAGCTTTTCTGGTTATCGGGAAAGTTTTTCTGTAAATACAAATTGAAATATATTTTTTACAATACTCATATTTTTGTGACATGCTTGTTTGTATTTAAAAAAAAAAATAGTGTTTAATAATGAACTTTATGAAAATTTTACTAATCATTTTGAAACCATTAAACATAAGAAATGTACCAGACAAGGAATATTGTTGAGACCAAAAATAAATCTCGAAATGACAAAACTCATTTTATTTTGCAAGAGAAAAACTTTTTAACGAGTTACCTTCAGACATTAGAATTACGGCAGAACTAACATTATTTACAAAAAAAATAAACAGCCACTTTTTTTTTATTTGTGTACATTTTACTAATTTTAATACTTTTTAAGCTTTTTATTTTTTTATTTTTCGGATAATTATAATTTCTGTTAAGTTTTAGTTTTTATACAGAACACATGTTGATGAGAGTTTTTATAACTGAAAGTGTATATCCTGTATAAATATCATTTTTAATAATTTAATAATAGTATTATATATGTTTTTAAACTTTTTTGGTCATTACCCATACAAAAAGTAAGAAAAGTTACATAAAAGTTAAGAAACCCATATGTTCAATGCTAAATTTAGAAAAATACGAGGGAAATAAATTCTTTTTTTTATGGATTTTTAAAATATGCCCTGGATGATCTCTAATGAGAGTGAACTTATTGAACATTTTGGGACTTTTATGGATTTCATTTTTTTGCATAGATATAGTAAAATAAGAGAAAAAACAGCAAGATTTAATAAGAATTAATAGTTATAAATTTTTAAAATATTAACAACAAGCTAATTTTGGTATAATATAATACTGATGAAATACTTTATGACTTTAGTTTATAGAAATAGTTTATTATAAAAGATACATATATACAAAACTAAAAGCATACATACATACTAAACTAAAAACAAACAAAACATTCTCAGATGATTAAGTTTGCACTTTCTTATTGTAGTAACTATGAACGCCACATATGTGGTTTCCAAATTTTAAAAAATGGTTTTACTTCATAAGATGAGATTCTTACAGTCCGATTTGTCTCAAAAGTGTATACTTTATAATTTTAATTTTCTACTTAAAGAGCATGACGTAGTAAGACATCCTCTCTGGCCCCCCCTATTGCCAAGCAAGATCCTGAAACTTCTAAACAGTGTCCTAATAATTAAGAGATGCTGCTTATTGATAAAAAAAGATATATTGAGATCTCTGATGGCAATATTCCTAAAAGATAGTTGAAAGTCACCTTTTTTTATTATCATAATTTATGCATTTTTGTCAAAAATGAAAGAAAAAAAAAATGAAAGAGTAAAAACAACAATACGTGTTAAGAATCGTGCTTTTTTTTTTTTACTTTATTTAAAAAATATCTAAAAAGTTATGAAAAATTATATCTTCTTTCATACTTCGGAACCAGTTCAATTCAACGTAATTTTTTTCATTTTCAGTAATTAAAAAAGTAAAAGCCGAAGTTAACCGAGTGGCGAGGTATAGCCAAGGTATAACTGAGTGGCGAGGTATAGCCGAAAAAAGTTAACTAAGTGGCGAGGTATAGCCAAGTCATGTTGAGTTGGTTTAATATCGTCAATTGAGTACATTATTTTGTTTAGCTGAAAGTTGATCGAAAGTAATTATTTTTACAAAATGTTCAACACAAAAAATGATAGCTTATTCTGTTCTCTAGAGAAAGCTTGTCAGGTAGGTCATGAACTGTAAAAAAAGATTGATGTGCTGTTTCTGTGAATAAAAAAGAGGTTTCTTAAAAAAGTGATTTTTATTAGTCATAATGCTGCCGCAATCTGAGCATAGTCTTTCCTTTTCCATGTTTAGAATGACACCGGTAATATCCCATTTGAAAAAAAGTCCTTTATAAATATGAAAAATAATACAAAAAATATGTCCTTAATAGCCTCTTCTGAGTAGTTTTATAGTTTTTGCATTGATTTGTGGCTTCATAAGGTTGTCAGATAAATACTTAATGAAAAACTCAAATTCAGATCAAAAACAATCTGTTAGCTATTAAAACAAATAGTTAATAAAATTATAGAGATTTTGACTACCCAGTTAGTTTTGGTTTCATCCCATTCATCTTTATCTATTAAGGTTTATTAAGTTTAGTTCGAGTTGAACTGATGTCCAAAGAAAAAGAAAATAATTTATTGTACAAGTGTTGTTAATAATGAGAGTTGTTGAATTAGACTTTATTGTACGTTTATATCCCCATTTAGGCACTTTGAGAAGAACTATTCTAGGCTTTTGTTTTTATTAGGTAATTGAAAAATTTTGAATTTCTTTTGTGATGACAGTATCTGTAAGAAATGATTTGTAAAAGTATTCTCCTTGTCAGAGTTTTGAGCTTTATCTATTTCTGACTCATTCCACCAACCTTTACTTTGTGACATTTTGCCATTTTTTTATTTATTTATTTTTTTGCAAACTTGTTCATCATCTTCATTCTCATTGTCACTCATCTCCAATACAGCCAACTTTTGAAAAATAGACAACATCGAACCAGCTGGATTTTTGAATTCTTTGATTCTTTTTTTTGTCGCTTAAAAGAAATAAAAACACTTGCAATGTGACTACAGCAACCAACAGTACACATTCCTGTTTTACAGGTACAATACCAAGAACCGATGCCGAATTGATCATTGATTTTGGGTAAATACTTAATATATACCATGTTTTAGTCATTTTACTGTGTCTAGACCAGACATCAATATTTATTATTTTAGAACGTTTAGTTGAATTGATTGTTCCATTAAGTCTTAACTCATATTTTCCTTTGTTAAGATGCTCCGATATATAACACAAGCTTTGTTTAAGCTGATAGGAACCTATAGTTATATAGGTTATTTTGTACTTTGATCAAGTACCGAAAAATCTTTAATATCTTGGGATACCAATTTAGTATAGGCACTTTTACAATGAAGCTTCTTTTCTTTAACTAATGTTTTAAGTAAATTCTCTTTGTTGAGGCTCTCTCATAATTCTAATCAGTTCTACTTTGTTTTCATTATCGGAGAGTAATCTTCCAAAATATTTGTTAACCAACGCGGCAGCAATCTGGTAATCATCTAGTGTATGAACAAGGCTTATGTTGCAATCTTTATCCAAGGCTCGAAATGATTGCTTAAGAAAGCAATTGATAACTTCGATAACCCATTGAGTCTTTGTAACAAAGCGTGTCTTAGAAAAGACCAGAATCAACTTTGGAAGCGAATCAATCATCTTCAATACAATCATGTAATCCCTGATTCATTATAATGATGTCATTTGGTCAAATTAAAGAACATAAGTTTTGGTCCCTGATAAGAATTTCACCTAATATAGTTGTGTCATTTTTAGTTGCTTCAAAAAGGTCATAATCATTTGAGATATATCCGTTAGAAGAACATATCATGAATGGCTTTAACAAGTGTTTCTTTTTTTGCACACTGTATGTTTTACGCTGAAAATTGTTATTGCTACTTTTTTGACAATAGCAGTTAGCTCCATCTGCTTTTAATATCAATTGATCATCACTTGTTTGAAAAATCTCTTTAGCAATAAGGCTATTGTTTTTTAATAATTCATTTCTTTGGATATGGTTCATGCTTAGATTATTTGGAACAAAATCAATGGTAAGTGACTCTCTCACTTGCTTAAGTAACTTATATCAAATTCAGGAACCAAGTTAAAAAATATTGATATTGTCAAATGATCCAACCCAGTTTTGAGCTAGAATAGATGTATTGCCAAAGCCTGGGTTTTAGATTTATTGAATCAAGTGATTCGCTTATTTTAATAAATTATTCTCTTGTAAATCCAGTTGTTCTGAGACATTTATACTCAATCAAAGTTGTTTTATACATGAAATGGTAATAAAGCGAATTTCAAAATACAGAATTGCAAATTGATTCAAAACGATTTTTAACCTACTTTTTTTTAAGTTTTATATTAGCTTTACCGATTGATAACATCTCCATGTTTGATTAATAGATTTGATGATTGACATAGATGAATGCTGCAACACCTTGAACCAGGTGGAGTCAATATATTTTTTTCTATATAGATGTCATTAGAAATGTTTTATTAACTTTTTGTATAAGTTTTTCTTTCCATAAACAAAACAGCTTTTGTGAGACAAAAGAGTGCAAAAAAAATCTACAAATACTGATTCATCGTCAGAGTTGCATTTTTTGTCAGTTTTTTCTTGTAAAACAACTTGTGAATTTGAAATTCTCGAATTATCTTTTTTTGCCACTACACATTTAGCAGAAAATACTGATAAATAGTTTACTGGAAATGAAAGTCCCAGTTTTAGTTGAATTATCGTTTATAAATTCTTCATTATTATTTTTTAAATTGTTGTGATGCTTTTTGGCACTTCTTACAGATTTTATCAGTTTTCTTAATCAAATCCAATTCTTTTTTCTGGATTTCATTTAAGCTGTCAATATTTTCTTTAGAACTAACTTCACTAAACTGTTTTAGTTCTAAATGAACATTACAGCAAGCACAATACAAGTATTCAGCATATTTTTTTGCTATTTAACGTTTAGCAATAAAAAAACTAATTTCACATTATTAAATATTTTAAACTATTAAATGTTCCAAGTTATACGATAAATATGTTTTAAAAAAGTTACAGACTCGTTTGTTGCATTGGTTAGCTGTTAGTTTTAACTGTATCAGGAGAATTTAAAAAAGATCTTTTAATATTTTTTTTAATGTTAATCTAAATTAATTATACTATTGTTTTTTTTATTTTCTTGTTTATTCTTTTTTGGTTGATGTATGAATTAACATAAGTAAATAAAAACTAATTGTAAAAATATTTTTATTTAGACTTTGAAAAATAACGGAAAAAAGATTTATTTGCTATTCTCCTAATATAATAAAAATCAGTTATGTAACTAACACGAAAAAAGTTATGTCAAACTAACACGACGAGAAAGAGCAAAACAAATTGCCAAAAAATACTTTTCAAAAAAAATATGATTAGTCGGACTATTTAATAGATTTTTCTCGAATATTATCAACTTTTTTCTGAATTTTTTCTGAATTTCTTGTGTGTCATTCCGGTAGATTTCGAGTTGATATTTAATATTAAATTGATTAAAAAGCGAAATTTTGATATTAGGAGGTAATTTTCTGGGGGCAAAATTTACATGCTTATTGCGTCATGCTCTTTGCAATGTTTATTTAAATTTTTTTAACCTTACTTAAATAACACTTTTTTTGTTTATGAAAAAGTAACTGGTGACTTTAATAGATGACTTTTATTTAAAAAGAATGGTTAGCTTGGATAAAGTTTTTAAGTTTTTAATTGGAAAAAATATATAATTTTTCTAGCATTAAAGTTCTTAAAATATTTTTTTTCAAAATTTACAAATTAACAAATATTTATGCATATTTTATTATATTTATTACATATTTTTATAGAACTTCAGATTTTTGCTTGCGTTAATTTATGTAGACATTGGTAGATTGGTTAATTTATGTAGACATTGGTAGATTGGTTAATTTATGTAGACATTGGTAGATTGGTTAATTTATGTAGACATTGGTAGATTGGTTAATTTATGTAGACATTGGTAGATTGGTTAATTTATGTAGACATTGGTAGATTGGTTAATTTATGTAGACATTGGTAGATGTAGACATATGTAGACATTGGTACGTTTCTGTATCCATGTATGTATAGAAAAACATTCCTGAGGAAATGTTAGAATCAGTTATCAATATTATTATAAATAGTTTTGAATAAATATTTATTTATATTATAGATATTATTTTATATTTGTAATATAGATTTATCTTTAAATGTAAAACTCACCTGTGGACTTGAATCAAGCATTGTTATTAATGAAAAAGAGTATTGCCCGGGTAAGCAAGGCATAAATTTGATCTCTTTGGATTTTCTTAATTACAAATATTCAAAAGGGTTAGTCATTCAACCATCAGAGCTGGAAGCTTATCTTAATGCAAATATGGATTCCTTAAAAAAGTCTGACTCCTTGTTTATTGTCACACAAGGGGATTGTACTGTTTTAGAACAAGGTCAGGAAAAAGTTTTATTAATTTTTAATTTTTAAATGTTTTAAATTTTTTTTTTAAATTTTTTTGCTACATTGTCAATAATACTTTATTTTCAGGGGGGATGCCATCAATTGTTTATCAGTTATTTATGAAAAGTAAAGATGTTAGTTTTCTTTATTCACCTGCTTGGTGTCTTGTACTCACATGTCATCATTGTGAGGTCGTTCACGGAGTTCAAAACATCACTAAGCATATGTTATTACCATTGGGTGAATTAGTCAGTGCAATATTGCAAGAAAACTTTACCATGCCACTTATTGATGTGTTACTTGCTGTACCAACAACTACAACACTTTGTAAGACAGAAGAGTTAAAACAAGTAGAAATATTAGCCAGAAATTCCTTTCAAAGAAGAGGTTAGTACTATTTGTTTTTTTATTTTTTATTCATTCCATTTTTGTTGTTGTTGTTCCTATTATTATTGTTTTTTTAAAACATTATTACCATTATTATTTCATTTTAGTATTTTATACCTAATTATGATTTTGTAAATCTAGAAAATTAATTTTAAAAATTCATTTTGTTCTCAGATTTAGTTGAAAATTTTAATTTTTGTTCGACATTTTTATTTCTTCGACTTTTACATTTACAATGTACATTACAATGTATGTTATCACTTATAGAACCTATAAAACATTTTTTTTAAACATTTTTTTTTTTGAATTCAATAATAGTTTTTCTAAATTTTTTTTTATTTTTTAAAAATTTTAAATTTGCTCAAGTCCAAAATCCATTTGTTGTAAATATTTGCATTTGTAAATTCAAGACCCCAAACATTAGGAAAAAATAGAAATTTGATAAAAATAATATTACAAGAATTCTGATCGTTTCTTGTTCTTTAGTTTGCCAGTTGTGTGAATTGATTGCAATCTCAATATAGTTATTGTACCTTATTGTAGCAAATAGGTTGATGTTGGATTTAAGAATTTATCTGTTTGTTTTTTAGTTATTGTTACATCTGCAAGTTTTCTTGGTTACTTGAGTGAATTAATATGGAATGTTGCTGATGGTAAGTTTAAAGGACTAAGTGAACCTCGTCACCAGATACTGGTAGCTCATTGTGCTGCAGCTTTAAAAATTTTACATCTATGTAGCATTGACACAGTTTCAACAAATGATCTTTTTTCTTGTGGTTTAGTTAATCCTCTTGTTGCATTGATTGTTTCTTTAATACCTGGATTAATGAATAAAATTCAAATAACTAAACCAATTGATGAAAAACCTGCTTTAGGTAAATTTGAAGAGAGTTTAAAAGGTATTTCTGAGCAAAAAAAATATTTTGACTTTGAATTTGATGAGTCAGAAAATAAAAGTTTTATTTCATCTGATGAAGAATCTTTATTAGAAGGAGTTACAAATGATGATATTTTTTTACCTGGAAATTTAAACGATTATAAAAAGCAATCAATCACATATGGCAAAGAAAATCATCAAAAAAGGATTTCACGCTTACGTTCTGATTCGTATATTTTACGTAATCAATCATTGTTGGATCCACAAAACTATGGTGTACATAATGAGCCATCAGTTTTTTTTGAAGAATCAGAAAATGAACAGAGAGTAATCACTAGTCACGGTCGAACATTTTCAATTTCAGCTACTCATCAGCAAATGAGACGTATTTCAAGGACACTTAGTGCAACTTTACAACAAACAAAGTCTGAAGAGTCTTCACCTCAGCTAAATGATCCTAATGAAGTTTTAAAAGAGCTCACCAAGCAAACGATTGCGATTATATACCATATGATAAAAAATGGTAGCAAAGAAATCTGTTTAGAAATATGTTCTACACACATTTTATCTATACTTTACTGTTTAGTGGGATGTTTTGCTGGAAATTTTCAAAAAAGCATAGGACTAACTTTGTCATCAATGATGTTACATACTAGTAAAACATTAGGAAATGTTTCTGAACCATTAAGTAAAGACTTTTAAATAAATAATCTTTCATATAAAAATTTGAAAACCTATTTGTTTTGTTTATTAGTAAAATATTGTTTTTTATCATAGTTGATTTTAATGTTTCAATGGAGCGATTGGCTTCACATCACACAAGTATCATTAGCTCTGATGGTCTTCAAATAACCAATGAAAATTGGTTTTTCGAAACAGTTTGCGCAAATCAATATATCTGTAGATCTTTATATTCTGATGAATATTCTCCACTTGGTTGGTATTATGAAGTCACTGTATTAACTGATGGTATCATGCAAATAGGTATTTCATAGATATTTAATAGATATTTCATAGAAAAACTGCATATTTTTTCGCTGCATCTTTTTTCACTTCAGTTTTATAGATTAGTTTAGAATTCTATTAGTTTTATTTTCTTTTAAATTTTATTAAGATTTGAATATCATTAAGTTTTTTAGAATGTTTGTTTTTCTAATAGGATGGATGAATGATAAATGCTTGTTTAGCCCTGAAAAGGGCATAGGAGTTGGTGATGATATGGAATCATGTGGTTTTGATGGTGCAAGATGCAAAATTTGGGATGGACCATCTAGAGATTCACATGGATCTAATGATTATGGAATGTTAGACTTTTTTATATATAATTAATAATTTATGTTTTTTAATGTTAGCATTAAGTTGTTTACAAACATAAGTGTTAGAAACAGCAGTTAGAGTTGTCTCGATTTATGACCAGATAGAGTCTGACAGAGTCAACATAATATTAGAAAAGTTGAAAGTCAAGTTTCCAGCATTTAAAGAGTATTTTCCAGAAATAAATTGAATGATAAACACAGATTTTTTATAATAATTTTATAATTTTTATATTTATAAATTTATAGATTAAAATTTTAATATTAGATACTTAAATTTTAATAATATATAAAAAGAAGTTTAATTATAACAACTGTTATAAAATATTTTCTAAGAAATCGATTATTGATTTAGAAAGGTTTTCTAAATTTGTAGTAATCTTTATATTTTATTAAATATAAAACTAAAAAACAAAGTTAGATATGATTAGAAGAAAAATAGTTTTTAATGAATAAATACTTAATGAACAAACATTTTATAGTGAATGGCAAACCGAAGATGTGATTAGTGTTTTATTAACATGGAATGGTATTGTATCTTTCTGGATAAATGGCAAAGACATGGGTCCTATAAGCAAAAAGCTTGATTTAGATGGCAAATGGTATCCAGCTGCCTCTCTTTCAGCTAATCAATGCTGCACTTTTGCTTTTGATGAAGAAGATTTCAGGTTTATTTTTTTTGTTTCATGAAAGTTTTGTCAATTTGACTTGAATAATCTTTTATAAAATAATTATTAAAAATAAACAGTCTTAATTAACAAGGTATTTTAAATATAACACCAAACTTTAAATGGAATTTGAGCTAACATTAATGTACTTAGAGCTAGCTTTAATGGACTTAGAGCTGACATTAATGTACTTAGAGCTAGCTTTAATGGACTTAGAGCTGACATTAATGTACTTAGAGCTAGCTTTAATGGACTTAGAGCTGACATTAATGTACTTAGAGCTAGCTTTAATGGACTTGGTACTTACTATTTTATAATAGAAATATTATTTTATAACAGAACTAAGGAGATCTTAGAGCATTATAAACTGTAGACTTTAAAACACTAAATTATGCAACGCTAAATTTATTTTTCAAAAAGTAGAAGAGATCTTTATTTCTTTAGGATGGCGATTTTCTTTAAACTTTATGAGCTATATAGATTTTTTATTTAACATACGACTGCGAGAAAAAATTTTGATCATTTTTGTTTTCTTTAATTGTGAAATTTAGCATTGAGTAATTTATGGACGATCCCTTATTTTAAAGTTTAGATAAAGGATCAGGCAAAAAGTATATAAAGCCAAAAAATAATAGAGTATAATACTATTTTGATGGTTATCAAAAATTATGTCATTGTTGCGCATTCCATGTTGAATATTTAATGGGGGGTAAAATAACTGTATTACTTTAAATTTCTTTTAATTTTTATTATATCAATATTAAACAATCAAAATCTGTAAGAAAAAATAATTACTTTATATTTTAACATAAAAAGTTTATTATAATTAAAAAAAACATTTATTGCAACAACAAAATAGCCATCACACAAAAAGTAACAGCTATAAGTGCAAAAAAATAATGTTATTTGACCAGAAAATAAAATTATTTTTACCTTGTTTGAAAAAAAACTAATTTTAATTCAAACTATAAACTTATGATCAACATAGTAAACTTAAAATAATTAAAGCTTACGAAGTTAAAACCATAATTTAACAGTAGACAAAGTAAACGTATAATAGTCTGCAGATAGAGCACCAAAGTAGAACTAAAGAAATAGAATAATAACTAAATATAAAATATTTTTAATACATAATAATTGCAGTTAAAAACATAAAAAATAGCTCTACCATCACAATATAATGAACGTAAAGTTGTAAAATAGTGAACAAAAAATAATAAAATAATTTTGTAAATTATCAATTTTTTCTTAAGTATGATCCTTTAAATTAAAAACAATAATATTTTCTTGAACAGATAAGGACACATTGATAAAGAACATACACAGTAAAAAGTTTCTTTCATATTAAGTTCATTAAGTTTTTTAAAGGCCATTAAAAGTTCTTTCATATTGCAAGTACTTATGAATACCTGTGATAACCGATGATTATTATGAAAATTAATAAAGTATTGAAAAACTTTTTAATGAAAATATATAATTTTGACACGGTGAGTCATAAACACTGTCACAGCAGCTCTGGAAACATTATGATGTTTTGCATGTTCTGTTGACTTAAATTTTGATGGTGTTTAATGTAAAAACAAAATTTTCAATTTTTAACAAATTTTTTGGTAAACTCAATATTTAACTAAATCAATATTGAAAGAAAAAAAAATTTGGTATTTTTGAAAGAATATATTTATTTACAAACCAAACTTACAATAATTGATTAGCCAAAATTAAAATAACAATCAAATAACTATTGTTATTTTAACTTTTTAAACAATTAGGAACTAAGAAAATAATAATAATAAAGCAAACGTTAATTTTTTTTTTAAAAGTAAATTTGAAAGATTCTTTAAAAGTAAAATTAATCTAATAAAATCTAACCTGAATATCACCACCAGACAATAACACTGTACTAAATAATTAAATTCATGTAAAACATGATTGAGTATCTAACACAAAAAAAGCAATAAAAAACAAAAAACAACTTACTTGAATCTAAAATAAGGTCATCTTCAGCTTCTATATAATTAACAGCTTGTCGAGAAACAATTTCAACTCATCACCTTCAAAACAGAACATGTCATTAACTAAAACACTAAAAACTTAACCTTTAGTAACTATAAAAACTATAAATAAGAGTATATTATGACTATAAATAATATAAAAATATAAATAATAAAAAAAACTATAAGTAACTATAAATAAGAGTATATTCAATAATTATACTTTTTACAATATTGATTAAAGAGATATTCAAAGATATTTAGAGATTTGTGAAAGTTAAAAAAATGAAATTTAAATACTTATTGCGTGCAAATCTACATTGTCTCGTGTATCACATGTTTAGAATGTTTCATATCGGTTTAGAATGTTTAACAGGGACGTTGTTAAATAGCTGTAAATCTCTAAATATCCTTATTATGTTAATATTAAATAGTTTTAACTTTTAATTATTTTTAAAAACAATAAATTTTATAAAATAATTTATTTTAAATATAAAATTAAGATTTTTAATTATGTTTATAATAAAAACATACTTTTTAAACCCCCTTACCGTTTTTAAAAAAAGTCAAGGTTGCCGTTTGGCAAGTTCATCAGCTTGCTTGTTTTTTAAATTTTTGTTGTTTAAAATGCAAATCAAAAAACTTTATAGTTCTATAGATTTCATATTCTATATATAAACATGTTGTTTAATCATTTTCCTTGCCTGAACTCAACTTAGTTGTAAATAAACTTGAAGTGTTAAACTAAAATAACATAAGTATCTCAATAATGACACACACGCAACAGATATCCCCCCGTTTTTGGATATTTTGAGAATTTTTAGCTTTTTTAAAAATCTTTTCGTTTGTTAAAGTATACATTATCGTTTATAAAGTATATGTTATCGATATGTTTGTTTATAATCTTTATAAAACTTCACAAGTATTTTGTATTTAAAAAATTCTAAAAAAATTAAAAAAAAGTCACCGGTGGTAGGACTCGAACCATGGCTTTCTTATTCAGAAGCTCAGCACGATTACTACTCAGCCATGCTGGCGCATTGGTCATCGAAGTTTTAAAACTATATAAAAATTGTTTTAAGGCATGTAGATGCTAAAGATCAGAAATTAAGAAGAGGTTGACACAATGCAGTTTTTAAGTGAAAATCAAACTGTAAAACTTGATATATGTTTAAGCATGTTTTAACATTACATAACATGAAGTTTATGTACATACGACATAAGTTTCATGTTTGCTCACGTTTTCTTATAAGGTCGAGGTGAGACTTATTCTTGCCAATATACATTTGCAATGGGTGCTAAGGGTTTCATGTCGCTCCAAGGGACACTACTACTATTAAAACTATTAAGTTCGGCAATAATATATAATGATAATAGTAATAATAATATTAAAATGTTGAATGCAAATGATTTCTAATTTGTGAATTATATAGCCAATAATAAATTAAAGTACATTGGAAAAATTTTATATAGGCAGTTTAAAAATAGTAAAGCAGTTTTTATGGTACTAATAATCAATTTATGATGGTAAATGAAATAGTTATTGTGTATTATTGTAAATTTATGATGGTAAATGAAATAGTTATTGTGTATTGTTGTAAATTTATGATGGTAAATGAAATAATTGTGTATTGTTGTAAAATTATGATTTTAAATTAAATAATTGTGCATTGTTGTAAATTTATGATGGTAAATGAAATAGTTATTGTGTATTGTTCTAAATTTATGATGGTAAATGAAATAATTGTGTATTGTTGTAAATTTATGATGGTAAATGAAATAATTGTGTATTGTTCTAAATTTATGATGGTAAATGAAATAGTTATTATGTATTGTTGTAAATTTATGATGGTAAATGAAATAATTGTGTATTGTTGTAAATTTACGATGGTAAATGAAATAGTTATTGTGTATTGTTGTAAATTTACGATGGTAAATGAAATAGTTAATGTGTATTGTTGTAAATTTACGATGGTAAATGAAATAGTTATTGCGTATTGTCTTGTAAATGTTGTGTATCATAAAAAATACTGAATTTTATTTTTATGTTTCTGTGTAATATTACACTTAAATTGTTTGTATAGCATGTATATATAATATTAGAGTAAATTTTTTGTATGATACGTATCTGTGAAATATTATACTAAGTTTATTTGTATATGTATCTATGTAATATTACACTAAATTTATTTGTAAAGTATGTGCCTGGGCAATAAGAAGTATTGAGTATTAGTTCAATTAATTTTTAATGATGTAATAAACATAATAAATTATAGAATTTATTATATCAATAATACAAAATTAATGTAATAATTATAATTAAAGTTTTGAATATTTTAAAATAGATTTATTTTAATATTTATTATTATTATTATTTATAAAAATAAATATTATTTATTGTTATTTTGTATTAACATTAGGCTTAATATAAAACATATACTCTAGGGTAGGAACAGGGTGTTTTATAATTTGTGGACTTGCTTTTGATGTAAAACATTTAAACAAATAATAAAGAATGTTTTTAATAATTTTTTAAAATATTTTAATTATCAAAATATGAAAAATATTATTTATGGCTATTCAACTTGTTTACCATCTAGCTTTTAACTTTTGGCATTTCGAAAAAAACCGCTATGATTTTCAGTCTTTACACATGTCTATGTCTATCTCTTTACACACTTGTTCAATCTGTTCATGAAGTTCACTAATTGTCAGGTTTGTCCTTGTATTCAATATTCTTCAAGTAGCTCCAATGTAAGAAGTCTGGAGGTCAGTTGTCTGCATATCCATTGTTTAGGGTATATATATAGTTTTACTTTCGACCAAACCAGTTTCTTACTTAACAGGAATAATGAGCAGCTCACCTTTTTTAAAAGTACATGTTGTTTAACTGTACACACTGTTGTTTAATATGGTGCATATACCATGTTGTTTAACTCGGCATACATACCATGTTGTTTAACTTATTGTAAATACCTTATTGTTTAATATGGTGTACATACCATTTTGTTTAACTTAGCGTTTATACCATGTAGTAAGCTACCGGGGCTGACATTTGACCAGGGCCAGGGCTGGGTTTGATAAACCATAGCCAAGGGTGGGGACAAGAACAGGGTCATGGCTGGGGCTGCCTAAATGTTGAAAAACCCTATAGATGAAATAAATATTTCATCTTGGATTAAAATTCACATTATGTTTATAAATAGATGAATATATATATATATATATATATATATATATATATATATATATATATATATATATATATATATATATATATATATATATATATATATATATATATATATTATATATGTATATATATATATATATATATATATATATATATATATATATATATATATATATATATATACACACACACTTACTAAAGCGTATTTT